CCAGCCAGCATCTCCCAGTTCTTCCAGACTCTTCCCTTTCCTTACCGGGGCACCGGCTACATAGTTCCATTCCACTGCACCGTACATGAATGGATTGCCATAAGCCACCGGGCTCTTCATGACCCTTGTTTAAATCAGCCTACCTGGCGTTGACACACTTTCTTTTTCTTGCTCTTTCTTTTTCTTGTACTCCAAAGTCCTACATTCCATAACAAAGCACTGTGCGCGGCTCCACCTGTCAGGCATTTTGTTCCAAACTCTTCCACTTGTTTTTGTCTCTCTGCACTCCCTTCTGTTCTCAGCAGGACTGCCTTGTCAAAGGACATCCCCACCCTCAGAGGAACTAAGCCGTACCCTCCCCACAGCCGTTTCAGCGAATCACGGCAGGAGGAGGGGGTAGGGCTTTGAAGGAGGGGCCTCCTGGGTTAATGATTCAGTGGAGTCACATGAGTGGTGGATTAGTGGACTAGCTCCACCTATAGTTTCAACCAGCTCACACTTCTTCTGGTTGCAGGAAACAGTCTTGGTTTTGACTTTGATGAATGATAAGGGGGATGATAACATTTTTCACAGTCAGTGCCAAGAACCACACATCCTGTTTTCTTTGTATTGGCTCCTTCTTGTGGGCTTGGTTTTTAACCAATATTTACTACAGTAAGTCAAGCAACAATGAATCTCTTCCCTGTCTTTTCACCCAGATCTCAGGGGCAAAGTTAAACTACCTACAGCTGATGTGTTTGACTATGACTAATATAGGTGAATGGTGATTCAGTAAAAGAGAAATACAGACTTACTCAACATGAGAAACAGCTATACCAGCTGTAAATGTAAATGTCTCTGAGATTAAAAGAATGTAAAGAGAAAAAGCACTTTTCAGGGAGAACCACCTCACAGAGCCGGAGCAGCTTCTGGCGTGTACAATAAGCTTTTGTTGTCGACTGTCCCCACTCGATGAGACCATGTTGTAGTGTGAGAAAAAACTCCAGCCTATTCATAAAGACGGAGTATAATATATCCCTCCCCTGCTTAAACCTCCATAAAAGAGGTTTAAAGGACTGGCACACAGACACATGTGACACACACAGTAAAGTGGGGTAGTATCAATTTACTAAAACAAAAAAACTAAACTAAAATGTATGTGATTTCTGTGAGGTTACTTTTTTAAGATATAATATTAATATTAATATTAACCAAAGTTCAGTGTGTGACCCCAGGTATATAGTTATAACAAAAAAAGAAAGCAAAACTCATAAAGGTCTTGGTTTTACTAAACTACCTTTAAGTTTAAAAGGTTAAAAGTTTTTTTTACCTGTTCATTCGTAAAGAACAGGGAGGTTTTAGTATTCAAAGTTTTTTTTACCTGTTCATTTGTAAAGAACAGGGAGGTTTTAGTATTCAAAAAAAAAACTTTTAAATTATTATAATATGTATATGGGGCTCCTTCAGTTGTTAGTAAAAGTACATGTATACTCGTGCCATGTCTGTCACAGTTTCTAAGTTTCTTAAAGGAATACATTCATGTACATCATCTTGTTGTTACATAAGACTATCTAATTATCTGCGTCATTCTTCTTCTCCTACAGCAGTACAACACCACCGAAACTTGTGTCAACTGAAGGAATGTCAAACACAACACTCTCCACTGTTGTTGTTACTGCTGTAAAGTTACTCTATGGACCTTGGACTGCCGGAATCTAATTTAACATCAGGCCCATCCAGAAGATGTTGCTGCACAATACTGCTGCATGTCAATGATCAGCGGCTTTGTACGACTGACAGAGGAAACAATGTTCTGACTGTCCTGACATTGAAGCTGGGGGAGGCATTTTAAATGTGAGTTTTAGGCTGAAGCTGAAGGTCAGAGAAAAAAAACTGACTAATGAAATGACGGCTTAAAACTTAAACAGAATATTGCATGTTATTATACTTCATGAACACCTGAAATTTGGGGCTTTGGTCAACACAGTAATCCAATATGGCAACCCAAAGGTCAAATAAATTAATGTTCTTCTGCTGCTCTTCAGAAAAGCTAAAGTACACATACGGTAAATATTTAATTTCAATCTCACTGAGAGCATTTTCTGGTTTTGTATTTCTCTTTTCATTCTTTTTTTTTCATCTAGTCTCTCTCTAACACTCTCTCAAGATTGTGAGAGGTCATTCTATTCACAGATTATACAGTACAAAGGAAGGGAATTCTGTTTAAATCCTCATTCATACAGGTCATGGTTCAACAAACACTGTTAGACAGTAGCAAATGGACTTGAAGTGTAGTCAAAGATGCTTCATCTTCCATCCAGAGGTCTTTTTAAGTAGTGAAGTTCTCTTTCATGTGGTACCAATGACCCAGAAGTGAACCTGGATTATTATGCATTTTGAACTCTGGTATTTCTAGAAAACCAGGGGATCAGATGGTATTTAACTTAATGTGAAAACAAACACATTTGAACAATTATAGTTATGGAAATACACAGTTACTACAATCAAGCGTACATCTGCACACTCTGAGCTATGTCATAAAAGTAGGTTCCGACAAAGTACTGGCTTTGAGTTCGTTTTGTGTATCATTATTACACATATTTGAGCTTGCGTAGGATTCTCTAAAGGGGCCTTTGCACAGAAAATATGCAGACAAACTGAGCCCAGTGATGAAATGACTCCCTGCCTTATAACAATAAGCAACCATTGTCTCCCGAACATCACATTGTGAACAGGAACACACCCTGAAAAGAGCAGAGAAAAACACTCATGTCTGAGTGTGTGGCCTTGTGTAGACTGGAGCCACGCATAACAACAATAATGGTAATGTTTCCGCAACAAATGAAACAATGTACACATCCTGTCGAAGCCATTTTGTCCAGTGAGTGTTTTAGTACTGCTTTAATGGACAGATAATACTTCCTTTTTTTATTCTTTTCTTCTTTCTATCCGTTTACACAATCGGTGCTCAGCGCTAACAGACTACAAAACCCGATGTATTGCTCTAATAGCAGGGTGTGAAATACCCACAGTGTGATGGATGAACGCAAAATATTTTTTCATGGGCCTTAAGGGCACCTGTAACCTGTTCCTTCTCTCAGGCTGTTTTTTTTTTCATTGACAAAAATAACCCTGTGATGGGTCCTGATGAGTTACAGTGACATGTATATAAATCATTTACAAAATGCAAGTCTTTTATAAAGGCCTACTGTCAACGACTGAGTTGAGTGAGTGAGCATCAAACTATCTAGACATTAAAATATCTGATAGAGTAAAAACAAATGTGTCCGATCAAGCGTGATGATACAAAAAAAAACATCCTTTAAATGTTTTCTCTATATGCACGAAACCTGTCTGAAATGATACATTAACATCACAAACAAGCCTGGCCTTTTCTATGAATGGAAGACCTCACACTAAAAACCTCCCTTCCCTGAACAAGGTCATGTGCATATCGAGTGGGCAAATGGGTGTGTTTAGCACAACAATGATGAGCTCTGCTGTCAGAGAGACATGATACTAGAATTCAAAAACTAACATGCCTAAAGAGGCCAGAACCCTGTTTCTGAATGCTTAAAAAGGGAAATATTTTTCACAAACTCATTTTCATAATTAATTTGACACATTATCTATCAAGAAAATCTGAGAGGAACTGTCCTCTACTGCTGTGTCCGCCCCCCCGCCCCGTGATACCCTCAACCAGGCCGAGACACGTGCTACAGCTGCATGTCTCTGTATTTCAAAGCCGCTCTCCATGTGGCTGTCAACTCCACAAGGTCTTCGCAAAACCTCGGAATTAAAAAATTCAAATAGCCTTTTCACACACTGTAAATATGTAGGGGACTTACATAATCACAACATGAAACATTTGCTGTTTGGTCCCAGTTTAAAAAGTTAGAGTAGTACTAAAGCTAGATTACCACTTGATCCCGATCTACAGAAAACTACAATAAAACTTCAATGACAAACAAACAACATGTTATGTCCGATCCTACCTCCCGCTCCATTGGACCGGGCCTCCCTCATCCATCCTAAGAGTGTGGACAGGTTGACCACAGGCCATGTCACCGCTCGCCACAACCACAATTTGGTGCTTGCTGTCAAGTAGGACATAATCTGCGTGTCTCCACGATTGCAAAAAATCCTATACAGAGGCCGACTGCTTTTCAAAGAGATTAAAAAAGTAAAATGATAAAAGGAAACTGAGCGAAGAAGTCTGAGGACGGAGAGACCCAGAGGGATAGTGTGCGTGGAAGAAGAAACAGAGGCCCGTGAGCATTGCTTAACCTTTTGCTAT